ATTTAAGTTATTCTCCCCACTCCCTTACGCTGGGAAATTTTGGGATAAATCCAAAAAAAATTATTTACCAGTTTTACCACAGTTCAACAATTTTAATGGTAAATATACTCTCATGAATAATTAATTTTTTAAATGTAAATCCTTAATAAAGCATGCATCATTACTTATCTTTTCAAATTATTTAAAAAGATAAGTAATGAAAGAAAAAATTGTACAATAAAAAAAAAATCTCTTTGCAAGAAGGTTTTAAAAATGTTCAAATGTTTCAAGGATGATATAAAAGCAACATAAAACTTCTTATAAATGGATAAAAGAGAGCAAATTACAATTATCTTCTCTAGAATTCTCATATAAAAGCAACATAAAACCTCTTATAAGTGGAAAAAAGAGAGCAAATTACAATTCTCTGCTCTAGAATTATAACAGTTTTGTTCTTTGATGGCAGCCTTCCCTACTGGAGGATTCTCACACAGTTTTGGTTTTGAATCTGCAACAAAACATGGCTTTGTAACAGAGTATAGTAAGTACAAAACAGAGTTCAGTGTTCTGTGAATTTTGATTGGAATATATGTGAGAAATATCATTATTATTTAATCAATGGTAATATTTTGATTGTTAACAGTATGTTTGTTTTTTGTTTTGTTATTTTTCTTCTTCCTTTCTTAGATGGTTTCAAAGGATTTTTGCTCTCTTGTCTTCAAAATGCAGGTAATACTCAACAAAAACTTCCACTAACAAACCTTAGCAGATAAGTCATTAGATTAGATACTCGTTTATGATGTTTTCATTACTATATATATTTTTGCGTAATATAATAATTGCTACAAACTTATTGTATTAAGTATTCCTACAAGATATTATTACACATTGTAAGCTATGTACTTTTTACTGCAAGTTTGTATTTATTCACATGTGAGCATATTCAGATGTAACACACACAATATTAGATGTTAAAGTTAAGTTAGACCAACAGATGCAGTTTTTTAGTTTGTTCTTATTTTTATTCATTTCAGCTGTGCTCTTAACTAATAGTAAAGCCAACATTCCTTCCTCTCTCCTTATGGCACATAACCCTTGATTTGCTTTTTCTCACAGCCTCGATGTTTTGTGCTTACAGGCAAAGCCACAGTTATCTAGTATGCCAACTAAAGTCTTACATTTCGAATCTTTCAGCATCATTTAGTCTTCCTTTTGTCAATGAATCACACAAGAATTACCAAACTGTTGACCGGATCAAAGAGCTGGATGGAATGGTTCAAGCATATCTCAGTAATCATGTAGCAAACAGAGCAAGCATTAGACAGGTCAGTTTTTCTCTCAAACATTTTTGGTTTAAATTATTATCTTACTATATATCTTCTTTTAAGATGAATTAGTTTTTGATTATGGATAATTTGTAAAAAAAAGACAAAACAAACTTTTAAATGGTAAACTTTGTTTATGCACGAGGACATGCATTTTTACCATCAGTGGA